AATAACATCCAATATCATTTCAGATCCGTCTTGTCGTTGTGGTGCTAAGCGTGAAGATTCATAACACTTCTTTTTTGAATGTCCTAATTATTATGCAAATATAGGAATCAAACTATATTATAATCTGAACTAGTTACCATAGAACTCTCCACTAAATTTGAACATCTTAACCTCCGGTGATTCGTCATTAACTAATGATGAAAATAAAAGAATTTTAAAGAATGTATATGAATTTATTAAAGAGTCAAAGAGGTTTCTAATTGTATAATATAGCACAGTGCATATGCATGTATATTGTGTACAACCATTCACATCATCACACATCATCTTTTTACATATCCAATATATATAATGTATTATTTGCATGCATGCTTTGTAAATACTTTATTGTTATAAATTGTTCATGGGAGAAGACTTTATAAGTTTGATTAACTTTGTAACTCATCCTTTTTGCATATGTAAGCAAATAAAATATGTTTACACTAAAGCAAACATCGCTCAATTCTTCAAAGGTATTAATTTTTTTTATTACAGTCACATTACCCATAGAAATTCTTTCTTTTATAATTGCTTGAGTTAGTGTTCTATAGAGTTTCTTTCACACCTATCGTTCCATTACGGTATTCCCAACGGTATCCCTCTTGCATCCTCGACTTGTCTTTTACCCCTATTGGTTCGATGAGGCAATCTCACCAGCATCCTTCTTGCATCATCGACTTGTTCTTCTGTGTCGGATGTCTCATGTGTGCGATTTAATCCAAAATTTTCGTACAAGAGATAGTCCTTTTCGTTTTCAATACTAACGTTTTTTCCCTCATTCTCGTACATCCATATCAAATCAGCGTATTTGTCTTTAGACTTCATTCTTTATATTAAACAATATAGGACCCTTTTAAATTGCATCTGTATTTTCCATTTTTCTTGGTGCTGGTGAGATGGATGATGAAAAATCCATAAGGTTTAGACCAACAGTGATTGCACAAAGTCTTAAACTCCTCAAAGGTAAAATCTGAACAAAGATCACGGTGAATGTGCGGGAGATTCTTGAAAAAGACATTTAAAATTGGTGTTATCCCGGATCGACTGGCGTGGGAGTTTTATGTAGTTTTGATACAGATAGATACAGTTCATATTGTTGTGTCCACCTCGGACATAATAGTCGTCGCATTTTGTCTGTTTGCTCAACTTCAAATCATTAAACACCATTCAGTTCTTACGATGGGTGTCAAGCTCTCAAAGCTCTGGCACATCTTCCCCTTGTTCAAAGAAATATGCATCAATGCCGCTGCATCGAGCAGGGATAAGGGACACTTCCTTTTGATGTATAAGAGATAACGTATATCCTCGTTTGAGATTCCTTTTCCCAATGCTTTTAGAAATAGCTAATAGATTGGTTGGTGAAGAGATTTCTAAAAGACATACAAACAATCATAACCTAACCAACCCGACTTGAGGAGAAGGTTGTTGAGCAGCGTCGTCTTACCACAGACTGAATTTCCAATAATCAGTCCTATAATTGACCGCTGCGGAAGGAGGAAATGATTACTTCTGATCGCAGTAGTTTCATTGTATGAAAAAGAGGGGCGAAAGATACCAAAGGGACATTCAAACTCATGAGTATCTGCAACGTCCATTTAATTAAATAAAATGAAAATATATTGTTTAAAATGTAAGAGGAATACAGAGACACAAAGTGGTTTTGAAGTTATGACTAGCAACGAACGACAACGGGGTAGAATCTGTGCCGTGTGTGGATCAAAGAAATCTCTGTTTGTGAGGTCTACCTGTGGTTGCTTCATGAACAAACTGATTAACAACCTATCAGTGAAAATGCATCTTCAGGGTCACAACTTCACAGGACCTGGTTCTAACCTTCGTCCAAACCAATTAATAGAGTGGATGAAGCTCCAAATAAGGTTACAACTACTCGCAACTCTGTGTGTGATAAAAATATGCTGAGCCAATTAGACTCCATCAGAATTTAACCATGAGAGAGAAGATGGACCGAGCTATTGTAAGACTTATCATCGGTACCAAAGTGCGATTTGGATTGGGGATTAAAAAAAGTTCTTTGGACAGATGAATTAGCAGACGAGTTGCACAAACCAGTCTGACGAAAATTTAAGAAAAGACGTGTGATCGCTGGTGGTGTGGATGACATTTGGACTGCGGATTTTGTCGATATGAGTTCCTTCTCTAGCGAAAACAAAGGAAGATAAATTCAATTAGAGTATCATCGATGTGTTCTTCAAATACGGTTGGCTCGTATCGCTCAAACACAAGAAAGGTGTCAAGGTCAGAGATGCATTCCAAGCGGTATTCAAGTCATCACGATTTCCTAAGAAGCTACGGACAGACAAAGGTACTGAATTCTATAACAAAGAGATCAAGGAGTTACTTAGAAAGCATGGCAGTGATCTGTACTCTACCGTGCATGAAGAAAAGTTGAGGGTTGAACGCTTGAACCGTACCGCGAAAGAGAAAATGTTCAAAATACTTTTTAGCCAACACCACACGCACCTACATTGATGTATTGAATGATCTTCTTCACCAGTACAACACTTCCAAACATAGATCCATTAACATGACTCCCGTGGTCGCAAGTCAAAAGGAACATGAAAACAGATTTAAAGAGTACTGGAACTTGTACGGTGGCATTCCTTCCGTGCAACAGGCTAGGTTTAAGGTAGGGAATAAGGTTTGAATCACCAAAAAGAAAGGCACTTTTGAAAAGGGATACACCCCTAGGTGGACATATGAAGTTTTTACTGTGTCCCACGTGTTAAACACTCAACCCCAACCTACCGTCTCAAGGACTTCAATGATGAGGAGATACAAGGTTCCTTCTTCGAGCCCGAACTTTAAAAGACTGATCTAAATTTATACCGCATCGAAAAAGTCTTGCGTAAACGAACCCAGGGTAGTGTGAAAGAGGTCTTCGTCAAATGGAGAGGGTATCCTAGATCATTTAATTTTAGGATCAAACTATCAGACATTCAATAGGTATGTTAGCTTTTCGTTCTTAGGTCATTCACAAAACACAAACCAGGTTAATCCTAAGCATGTTTCAACTGAACGAACATCCTTAAATTGTTCAGATCTTCCCGGTTTTGCTCTTCAATTGCTATCGTGCTTTCCACCAGTGCATCATTTTTTTGTTGCATGGAATTGTTAATCTTATCCACTTTTCCCGAGTCCTTGTTGCATGGTGTTGCAGACTTATCCACTATTTTCTCAAGTTGTTTGATTGTTGTATCAAATCATTTTTCTATTCGTTCTATATCGGTCTTAATCAAGTCACACTCGGATTGTTATGCTTCGGTTTGACTCGTACTGTCTTTTACTTGCTGTATAACCCATCGTTTTGTTTGCAGCGTCCCCACCTTGAATCGGTTGGTGATACGATTGTCGTTCATGTTCAAGTCTTCGAGCAAACTATCCGTACTCATTCCTCTTTTTCTTCCATAAAATCCAAATTTATCTATATTTTATTTATAGGTTCAATGAAAACAAGACTTCAACAAACGATTGACCTTCCGACAACAATTTCAACACATACAAACAATAGTGTGCGCATACCACTGTTTCTCTCTCCTGTAGTTCATCGGTGTTGTAGTAGATCTCAGACTTTAGGTAGTCAACTATCTCGTTGGCTGGTGGGAGCCCCTAAAAGAGATAGTACACCTTTGTGAATTTATTCTTAAACCAACACGTCCAATGTGTTCCTGGACCATTGAGGTGTCATGGATTAAAATACCACACCCACTTTGTGGTTTCGGAGGTAAAGCGTCTTGCGTAAACACTCCTCTAAAATGGGATACCCCAAAAGCATTGACAGCTTTCTCCACCTGTCTGTTACATACGGGTGTGTTGGAAGAATTATGTAATGCACTCGTATTTTCTTCATTTATTTTATTCCTCAAACGACTGCGGAGTTGCAATCGTCTTTCGACAGCATCTATCCTCTGTTTATGTGTGTTAAATCGTTTTCGTTCTAGAAATATTGAATATGTTTCACATATACCAGGTTTGTTCGATCCGATCATTCTTACTTTCATCAACACCCCCATTCCCCTCTTTAAGGTGTTTTTTTTCAATTTTGTAATGTCCGTGCGCGAGGGTGTTGATTCCATCAAGTAGGATGTAACGCTTTTCATCCTTGGCTGAGAGTGCTATTTAAAATTTCCTGTTGTGTGTCAAGACATTTCGTGTATTCATCAAAGGTGATATTTCGTTTAATTACATTCTTCTAACTCCCTTTGCTTTCTTGGTAACTTCTTCATCTACCTTGTAGGCGTACATTTTTACTCGAAGACTACATAATTTTACCTCCACACTCATCCTTATACATTCCAATTCTTATTTACATCGGTTGTAATTCTGATGGGTGTTCGGTTGAGTAATTGGAAGTATCAAACTTCCCCTGAACATGTGGTGCAATGTCTTTGTAAACATCGGCGGTTTCAATCTCATAAGCCTAACTGTCAGTATCGGCGAATACGAGCTTTGCGTTGTTACTATAAATCTTCCGCATGAAGTTGTAATGAAAGTGACACATCATGGTTTTTGACAAATCCAAAATGCAACTTCCAAAGTAAATGGGTTTATTAAATTGAGTTTTGTCTTTTTCATGTGGACCGCTACCAAGTTTTAAGTAAAGACAACCCGACGATCAAAGTTTGGTTTGGCTACAAGCTTCAATGTCTGTTTCTCTGATTTTACCAGTTTGACTTCAACTCTCTTACGGATGTTCTCCATCGTCTTACCAAACACTTACTTATTCATCCGTTTGAAAAACCCCTTTTCCGAATCAGTCTTAGCTTTGGCTCGAAGACTGTTGTTTCAGTCTATATACTTTTTGAGCCATGGAGACTGCACGAACCTGATGATGCGGTGTACTTTTGTTAGTTTCAATTCAAATGACAAGTATTGTTTAAGATTTCTACAATGAAGTACATACTTAACTCGGTTGTTTAATGTTGGAATTTGTTTGTGTACAAATAGTAACTCCAAACAGTGGTCACATATACTTGTTCCATATGATTCGAATATTAATCTACTTAAGGTGCACCATAATAATCTAGTAACGTATCATCTTTCAGTAATGCATGTAAGAAGTAAATCTATATTGTCCAAGGTACGGATAGTCGCTTTATCACAATGTTATTGTTGTTGCAAGAATGTAAACAAACAGCAGGAAAGTATTGCTTCGGTCTTGTTAAATGACATCACAAATATTTCCAATGATGATCAATTGTCTGGAAAAAAAATTAAAATGTGTTTACTAATTAGTCATAGTAATGTAACGCATAATAGAAAACAATTAAATGAGATAATTTTTTCTATTAAACCACTAAAAAGTATACTATTTAAACAGTATGTACTAACAAGTAACTTAAAACAACATAATATAATAAAAAAAAAGGTAAAGTCCCATAAGGTCACTAAAATCATACAAAAACAAATCTGGCATATAATACTATTTTCAGACAAGATCAATACAAACGTAGATAGCACATATATGAGAATCCTTCAAATAGTTGATATTATTGTAAAGGCACTCCCAATACTTTCAGAGATTTTTTTATGGTTTACTATTCAAAGAGTCATCATCTTATTTTCAATGTTTCATGTACATGTCACAGTATTGCGTACATTGTCAATTGTATATAGTGTTTGTATTGTTTATTGTATGATTTTGTATCTGTTAATATATGTATCATTACTTTTGTTTATTAGAGTACATTACTTTATATACATGTACATACTTGTTTATTTTGTGTTATATAAATGTAAGCTCATAACTCCATACATATATCTCCATTTTAATAACCGGCATATACAGATTCTAATCAATATAATGCATAACAGTTTAATGTTGATAAATAGATATATTCACTGCTTTAAGCTAAATATCCTCTAATTTATGAAAGATATTTTACATATTTGCTCTTTAAATAGCCAAGGACTTGGTCAAAAAGAAAAACGAAGTAGGCTCTACACTTGGCTAAAGTATCAAAAATCTGATATCTTATTCGCACAAGAAACCCATTTTGTCCCAGAAATAGAAAATAAGATAAGACAAGAATTTCATGGAGATGTATACCATAGCTTTGGGACATCTCAATCTAGAGGAGTCGCTATCTTTATTAATAAAACATTAAATCCTAGAATAATAGACACGTATTCTGATCAAGACGGTCGTATAATTTTGGTAAATGTAGAAATAAACAATAACATATTTTCTTTGATAAATTTGTATGCACCAAATGATAAGAAAAAAAGGAATACTTTCTTTAAAAAAGTAAATACAATAATTGAAGAACATAGGCTTGGTATTTTAATAATAGGAGGAGATTTAAACGAAATAATGAATAATGAAGACAGAAAAAATAAAAATATAACAGGCAAAAAGCCCAAAAAATCAAATAGTTTGAAAACATTAATTAAAACAAAAAAGTTATTAGATATATGGAGAATATTACATCCTACTTTAAAACAATATACATGGAAAAGAAAAAACAATGATCTTGAGGCAAGTAGGATAGACTTCTTCTTGATTAGTGAAGAACTTAGAACACTTATTGAGTCTACAGATATCAGACCAGCCATGATATCCAGTACAGATCATCAAGCTATTTCATTAAAAGTAAATTTAGAAACCAAAAATAAAGGTAAAGGTTATTTTAAAATAAATAATAGTATACTAAGTGAACCTAACTTCAAAGAAAAGATAAATAATTTAATAGATTTCTATTTAGAAAAATGTAAACATAATGAAAACCTATCCCAATTATGGGATTTATTTAAAATTGACATAAGAGAAACTACAATCTTATATTGTAAAATTAGGGCAAAAAGGAAAAAAAAATGAAATAAATGACTTGGAACGAATATTGCAATCTTTAAAGAAAAAAAAAAAAGAAAATAGTAAAATAAACAAGACAGAAAATGATGAAATTAAACAGTTAGAAACTAAAATAGAAAACTTATATAATTTTAAGGCAAAAGGTGCACAAATACGCTCAAGAATAAAGTGGATAGAAGAAGGAGAAAAGAACACTTATTTTTTTCTTGGTTTAGAAAAATGTAGGCAAGCAAGAAAAAATATTATTAAACTAAAAAATGAACAAGGGGAAATAATAACGAATCAATCGGATATACTTAATTTAGAAAAGAAATATTATGAAAAACTTTACACAAGTACTGAACCAGACAAACAATTAATTAATGATTATATAACCGACACAAAAATTAATGCTTCATTGAGCGAAGAAGAAAGCGAGTCTTTAAATGGGTCTCTTACAGTCGATGAATGTACTAAATCTATTTTTCAAATGAAACTAAATAAGTCCCCAGGTTTAGACGGTCTGTCTGTTGAATTATATAGAGAATTTTGGATAAATTAAAGAGTTTTGCAACAGATAGTTTTAATTACTGTTATAAAGTAGGAATGTTGTCAGAATCTCAAAAAATAGGCCTTATTTCTTTATTATTTAAAAAGGGGGACCCTACAAATAATAAAGAAATTACAGACCAATCACATTACTGAATGTTGATGTCAAAATCATTGCATATACATTAGCCTTAAGACTGAAACCATTATTGCCAAAAATTGTACATAGTGATCAAAATGGATACATAAAAAACCGTTATATAGGTTTCAACATACGACAAATACAAGACATTATTGATCATGCCGAAAAGTTTAAAATAGAAGGGGCCATACTGTTTCTTGATTTTTCAAAAGCATTCGACTCACTCGAATGGGAATTTATGTACAAATCTTTACAAAAATTTGGTATAAAAAACTCAATGTTAAATTGGGTGAAAACATTGTATAAAGATATAAGAGCCTGTATAGCAAACAATGGATGGATTTCAGGCCCATTGGAAATTTATAGGGGAATTCGTCAAGGATGTCCGTTCAGTGCTATTTTGTTTGTTTTAGCTGTTGAAATACTAGCATGTAAAATAAGAGAAGATAATAAACTGAAGGGGATCAAAATAAAATTAGATGGGAAAACACATAGTCTAAAAATAAGTCAATTAGCAGATGACACAACACTATTTTTAAATGCTAAAGACGAAATTACTCATGCTCTCAATGTAATTGAGGTTTTCGGATCTTTATCAGGGCTTATACTAAATCGTAACAAAACTGAAGGTTTATGTTTAGGAAACAAATAAAATATTCCAGAAAATTTTGAAAATATAAATTGGAGTAAAGATATTATTAAATGTTTAGGTGTTTATTTTGGACATGACAAACCACAATGCATGAAACTTAACTTTGAAAAACAATTGCAAAAATCAAAAAAGACTCTTAATCTATGGAAAAAAAGAAACCTAACTATGATAGGCAAAATCACTGTGGTCAAATCACTAATTATCCCAAACATAACCTATATTGCATCCGTTTCAAATATAGACACTGAATCATTGTCCGAATTTAAGAAATTGGTATATGATTTCATCTCGGATGGAAAGACAGAAAAAGTAAAGAGAAATACGTTAAATTTAGTCAAAAATGAAGGAGGACTAGGAATGATAGATATTAATAAATGCATAGAATCAATAAGAATTAAATGGATAAAGCGATTAATAGATGACGAAAGTGCAAACTGGAAAATAATTCCATCATATTATTTAAATCAATATGGATCAAACCTATTAATTTTTCAAATGAATTTAGATAGTATTAAATCAATCCATAATATCGCAAAACATATACCCAAATTCTATTTAGAACTACTCAAAACATGAGTTAAAAGCAGGGGCGGGCAAACAGAACAACCTGATAATTTTAGAATAATCAGACAGCAAATAATATGGGGGAATAAATATATAAAGTCTAACAGACACAGTTTGATTTTCAGACACTGGATAGAAGACAAAATAATTTACATAAATGACATTATTGATGATAAGGGGAATATTTCTCAAGAAAAAATTTTAAGTAAATTAAAATGTAAAAAAAATTGGATTGCTGAATTAATGCAGATAAAACATAGCATACCAAACCAGTGGAAAAAAATATTACAGAAACAAGATTCAATTAAAACTATGGTCCAGTGTAGGAGTAAAGTTTTCTTTAAACAAGGGACAAAAACGGATGAATTACTCAATATAAAAAACATTAACATTTATAAAAGTTTATTACATTCTGATAAGGAATTTCCAATTGGTTTTTCTAAATGGATAAAAGAGTTCAATTTAAACAAAACTTACAATATAAAACACACATTAGAATTTATTTTCAACTACTTAGAAGATAATAAACTTAAAATGGTTAGATGGAAGTTATTGCATTATATCCTTCCAGTAGGTACCCATTTGTATTCATGGAAAATAAAGCAAACAAATCTATGTTTTACTTGTCAAGTAACAGACATTTACCTTCATAATTACATAGAGTGCAGTTATTTCAAGGAGTTCTGGAATAAAATAAATAATCTGTTACAAAAGTTTCATATTGATTTATAAATTTAAAACCAAACAGAAAACAATAACCTGCGGAAAAGATGGTATACCGCAAACAAAAGGTGCAAAAATTAGTACACCATATCCGGATTTCGACAATTAATGTCTCTTCAGTGATGTTAGGAATCGAAACGGTATTTGGAAGGCCATATAATTTACCTCATTTTAGGATAGACTCTTGAATTTTGAAAGAGTCAAAATAGGATGAACGGATCATTTAAACCCGAAGGCAAATATAATACAAGCCCAAACGAAAAAATATAAACAAGTCTAAATTGAAAACAACGTTCAAACCTATGATTGCGTTGGATAAAAACCGCAATTTCTATACGTGTGCATGCAAAACAAATTTCTTGTTAAAGGGGTCTAAATACAGCACAAACAACATTTTCGAAACGACCAAAAAAGTGAAAAAGTATATTTTAACAAAACGCATTTGACTAACAGGTCGAACAACAGATGTTCTTAAACCCTGCCGACTGCCATTGGCGATTGCCAAATAAACGGATCACAAGATGTTACAAAATAGATCTTTAAAAATTTATAAATTTAATACCAAACAGAAAACAATAAACTTACGGAAAAGATGGTATACCGCAAACAAAAGGTGCAAAAATTAGTACACCATATCCGGATTTCGACAATTAATGTCTCTTCAGTGATGTTAGGAATCGAAACGGTATTTGGAAGGCCATATAATTTACCTCATTTTAGGATAGACTCTTGAATTTTGAAAGAGTCAAAATACGATGAACGGATCATATAACCCGAAGGCAAATATAATACAAGCCCAAACGAAAAAATATAAACAAGTTTAAATTGAAACCAACGTTCAAACCTATGATTGCGTTGGATAAAAACCGCAATTTCTATACGTGTGCATGCAAAACAAATTTCTTGTTAGAGGGGTCTAAATACAGCACAAACAACATTTTCCAAAAGACCAAAAAAGTGAAAAAGTATATTTTAACAAAACGCATTTGACTAACAGGTCGAACAACAGATGTTCTTAAACCCTGCCGACTGCCATTGGCGATTGCCAAATAAACGGATCACAAGATGTTACAAAATAGATCTTTAAAAATTTATAAATTTAATACCAAACAGAAAACAATAAACTTGCGGAAAAGATGGTAAACCGCAAACAAAAGGTGCAAAAATTAGTACAACATATCCGGATTTCGACAATTAATGTCTCTTCAGTGATGTTAGGAATCGAAACGGTATTTGGAAGGCCATATAATTTACCTCATTTTAGGATAGACTCTTGAATTTTGAAAGAGTCAAAATAGGATGAACGGATCATTTAAACCCGAAGGCAAATATAATACAAGCCCAAACGAAAAAATATAAACAAGTCTAAATTGAAAACAACGTTCAAACCTATGATTGCGTTGGATAAAAACTGCAATTTCTATACGTGTGCATGCAAAACAAATTTCTTGTTAAAGGGGTCTAAATACAGCACAAACAACATTTTCGAAAAGACCAAAAAAGTGAAAAAGTATATTTTAACAAAACGCATTTGACTAACAGGTCGAACAACAGATGTTCTTAAACCCTGCCGACTGCCATTGGCGATTGCCAAATAAACGGATCACAAGATGTTACAAAATAGATCTTTAAAAATTTATAAATTTAATACCAAACATAAAACAATAAACTTACGGAAAAGATGGTATACCGCAAACAAAAGGTGCAAAAATTAGTACACCATATCCGGATTTCGACAATTAATGTCTCTTCAGTGATGTTAGGAATCGAAACGGTATTTGGAAGGCCATATAATTTACCTCATTTTAGGATAGACTCTTGAATTTTGAAAGAGTCAAAATACGATGAACGGATCATATAACCCGAAGGCAAATATAATACAAGCCCAAACGAAAAAATATAAACAAGTCTAAATTGAAACCAACGTTCAAACCTATGATTGCGTTGGATAAAAACCGCAATTTCTATACGTGTGCATGCAAAACAAATTTCTTGTTAGAGGGGTCTAAATACAGCACAAACAACATTTTCCAAAAGACCAAAAAAGTGAAAAAGTATATTTTAACAAAACGCATTTGACTAACAGGTCGAACAACAGATGTTCTTAAACCCTGCCGACTGCCATTGGCGATTGCCAAATAAACGGATCACAAGATGTTACAAAATAGATCTTTAAAAATTTATAAATTTAATACCAAACAGAAAACAATAAACTTGCGGAAAAGATGGTAAACCGCAAACAAAAGGTGCAAAAATTAGTACAACATATCCGGATTTCGACAATTAATGTCTCTTCAGTGATGTTAGGAATCGAAACGGTATTTGGAAGGCCATATAATTTACCTCATTTTAGGATAGACTCTTGAATTTTGAAAGAGTCAAAATAGGATGAACGGATCATATAAACCCGAAGGCAAATATAATACAAGCCCAAACAAAAAAATATAAACAAGTCTAAATTGAAAACAACGTTCAAACCTATGATTGCGTTGGATAAAAACCGCAATTTCTATACGTGTGCATGCAAAACAAATTTCTTGTTAGAGGGGTCTAAATACAGCACAAACAACATTTTCGAAAAGACCAAAAAAGTGAAAAAGTATATTTTAACAAAACGCATTTGACTAACAGGTCGAACAACAGATGTTCTTAAACCCTGCCGACTGCCATTGGCGATTGCCAAATAAACGGATCACAAGATGTTACAAAATAGATCTTTAAAAATTTATAAATTGAATACCAAACAGAAAACAATAAACTTACGGAAAAGATGGTATACCGCAAACAAAAGGTGCAAAAATTAGTACACCATATCCGGATTTCGACAATTAATGTCTCTTCAGTGATGTTAGGAATCGAAACGGTATTTGGAAGGCCATATAATTTACCTCAATTTAGGATAGACTCTTGAATTTTGAAAGAGTCAAAATACGATGAACGGATCATATAACCCGAAGGCAAATATAATACAAGCCCAAACGAAAAAATATAAACAAGTCTAAATTGAAAACAACGTTCAAACCTATGATTGCGTTGGATAAAAACCGCAATTTCTATACGTGTGCATGCAAAACAAATTTCTTGTTAGAGGGGTCTAAATACAGCACAAACAACATTTTCCAAAAGACCAAAAAAGTGAAAAAGTATATTTTAACAAAACGCATTTGACTAACAGGTGGAACAACAGATGTTCTTAAACCCTGCCGACTGCCATTGGCGATTGCCAAATAAACGGATCACAAGATGTTACAAAATAGATCTTTAAAAATTTATAAATTTAATACCAAACAGAAAACAATAAACTTGCGGAAAAGATGGTATACCGCAAACAAAAGGTGCAAAAATTAGTACAACATATCCGGATTTCGACAATTAATGTCTCTTCAGTGATGTTAGGAATCGAAACGGTATTTGGAAGGCCATATAATTTACCTCATTTTAGGATAGACTCTTGAATTTTGAAAGAGTCAAAATAGGATGAACGGATCATATAAACCCGAAGGCAAATATAATACAAGCCCAAACAAAAAAATATAAACAAGTCTAAATTGAAAACAACGTTCAAACCTATGATTGCGTTGGATAAAAACCGCAATTTCTATACGTGTGCATGCAAAACAAATTTCTTGTTAAAGGGGTCTAAATACAGCACAAACAACATTTTCCAAAAGACCAAAAAAGAGAAAAAGTATATTTTAACAAAACGCATTTGACTAACAGGTCGAACAACAGATGTTCTTAAACCCTGCCGACTGCCATTGGCGATTGCCAAATAAACGGATCACAAGATGTTACAAAATAGATCTTTAAAAATTTTAAAATTTAATACCAAACAGAAAACAATAACCTGCGGAAAAGATGGTATACCGCAAACAAAAGGTGCAAAAATTAGTACACCATATCCGGATTTCGACAATTAATGTCTCTTCAGTGATGTTAGGAATCGAAACGGTATTTGGAAGGCCATATAATTTACCTCATTTTAGGATAGACTCTTGAATTTTGAAAGAGTCAAAATAGGATGAACGGATCATTTAAACCCGAAGGCAAATATAATACAAGCCCAAACGAAAAAATATAAACAAGTCTAAATTGAAAACAACGTTCAAACCTATGATTGCGTTGGATAAAAACCGCAATTTCTATACGTGTGCATGCAAAACAAATTTCTTGTTAGAGGGGTCTAAATACAGCACAAACAACATTTTCGAAAAGACCAAAAAAGTGAAAAAGTATATTTTAACAAAACGCATTTGACTAACAGGTCGAACAACAGATGTTCTTAAACCCTGCCGACTGCCATTGGCGATTGCCAAATAAACGGATCACAAGATGTTACAAAATAGATCTTTAAAAATTTATAAATTTAATACCAAACAGAAAACAATAAACTTACGGAAAAGATGGTATACCGCAAACAAAAGGTGCAACAATTAGTACACCATATCCGGATTTCGACAATTAATGTCTCTTCAGTGATGTTAGGAATCGAAACGGTATTTGGAAGGCCATATAATTTACCTCATTTTAGGATAGACTCTTGAATTTTGAAAGAGTCAAAATAGGATGAACGGATCATATAAACCCGAAGGCAAATATAATACAAGCCCAAACGAAAAAATATAAACAAGTCTAAATTGAAAACAAGGTTCAAACCTATGATTGCGTTGGATAAAAACCGCAATTTCTATACGTGTGCATGCAAAACAAATTTCTTGTTAGAGGGGTCTAAATACAGCACAAACAACATTTTCCAAAAGACCAAAAAAGTGAAAAAGTATATTTTAACAAAACGCATTTGACTAACAGGTCGAACAACAGATGTATATATATATATATATATGTATATATATACGTCTGAACCAGTGACAACCTTCAACAGATCTATCCATCGGATCACCAGCAGTGATGGTTATACATGGCTGTGTACATTCTGTATATACAACTCGTCTAAACATCAGCCCAACAATGTTAGGATATAGTGCAGGCAATTTGGTGTCACGATATCTGAGTATCTTCCGGCGATGGAAGAACAAAAAATTTGCGAATACAAATTAAATTTACAGATCTAACATTGTTGGGCTGATGTTTAGACGAGTTATATATATATATATATATATACATATATATATATATATAAACAAGTCTAAATTGAAAACAACGTTCAAATCTATGATTGCGTTGGATAAAAACCGCAATTTTTATACGGGTGCATGCAAAACAAATTTCTTGTTAGAGGGGTCTAAATACAGCACAAACAACATTTTCCAAAAGAACAAAAAAGTGAAAAAGTATATTTTAACAAAACGCATTTGACTAACAGGTCGAACAACGGATGTTCTTAAACCCTACTAACTGCCATTGGCGATTGCCAAATAAACGGATCACCGATGTAATAAATGGATCTTAACTATAAATTTAATACTAAACAGAAAACAATAAACTTGCGGAAAAGATGGTATACCGCAACCAAAGGTGCAAAGGTTTTTGTACACCATATCCGGTTAGGGCGGATTTAGGGGTGGGACGCACCCGAGTTCCTCTACTCATCAGAAACATTCCTAGCCTCCTATTCTACATCTTCGCCTTGGTCTATTATATACAACTGAGTTGTTTTCCCTCATTTTTTTACCATTTGAAGCTTGTTATACAGCATGAACTATGTAACGATCATATTAAACTTTATTTGCATTGATGTTGATGATAATTTATTTGTTGGTTGGCTGTTGTATCGTGGACAATTGTCCTATCTCTAACTACAAGTCGTAAAATCAAATCTGTTTATGAGGGTGTGTTTATTTTAACTGTTCCTGCTCCCCATGGAATTGACATTGGATTTCACATGTTCGCTCGTGTTAACATCTTCTGTAAATGCCAACTGCACCACAATTATTAGATGATTAAAACAAATTAACGACATGTAAAAGAATGATTTGAAATCAGTTGCGTATCTAGCATTAACTAGAGATATTACTAGTTCAAAAACAGACAATGAAAATCATCTGTGGAATATTAATTAAGTAAGACACTGACCATTAACTGCCAAGGGGGGGGGGGGGGGGGGGGGGGGACTATAGTATTTGTTTCGTTTCACATTTGATCGCAAGAGTCACATTACTTTTTTTCACATTTAACCTTAACATTAATAGAAAATAACTTCATCGCAAAACGTTTTTTTACCCAGATTTATTTCACATTACTTTTTCAAAAAATTGCAGCATCCTTGTCTTGCAAATCTGAATCATCCACGTTGACAATGTGACAATAGCATACTCATTAAAACTAAAAATAATTGTGAATCTTGTTGTTAAATTTAGAGCATCATAATTGTATTAAAATGTTACAGGTAATACGCATGCTTGAACATTTCCCGCGCAAATGTGTGTAATCGTGGTTAACATAAGTAACGCAACGGACGTAAGTGTATTTGAAAATATTTTCTTTATTTTCAGATATTAAAGCTAGTTTTATTTGCGATATGCTTAAGATACGTTTGATTCAGAAAAGAATGCTGTTTTACAGACTCTAAGTGTTGTCGTGGAAATTTAATACATGATCCCTTTACGTTCATTTGTACCTTTCGTCAAAATGTAAGAAAACTCTAATACATCGAGATATTTGAAGAGAAACGTTCATATCTATGAATTTGAAATAGGCAATAACATGATTTGGTTGAAAAAAAATATCATGTCACCACGAAATAAATCTCTCAGGAACAAGCGATTTTTGTTATTACAATGTAAAAGATTCATCAAACGTAATAGGAGGTTCTACTGTAATATTACTGTATTCACGTAAATCATATATAGTAACGAAAGGGTGTGGGATCATGAATGAACGTTAAGTCGCTAAACCCAGACTTTCCTCTAATTAGCCTTCTAATACACTTATATCGACAGTCTTTATACATGGGACAATTAGATAAAACTGATCCCTAGTTATAAAGGTAGCAACCTGGGAAATTTTGCAAACAATTAAAATGATAGTTAAAAAAAAATTACGTTTTTCTCTTTGTTGAATGTCGTACGGTTGCCTATAATTGCTTACATCCACTACATTTTGAACTTTGGTGGATAGTTGTCTCATTGGCAATCATACCACATCTCCTTTTTTTATATTGAAAACTACATGTTTTGAACACAAGATAATAGTTTTAAGTCAAAGGTACATTTCATTAATGGGCCAACAAAGGTACAAGCAATTAACCATTTAGCATTAATTGTTCGTTTGTTCGTTTGACAATTAAAAGAGCAGTGTTCAGAAAACTTTCCCTTCCTTCATATTTAAACAAAATTACTGAATATTTGGTGATAAAAACGAAAACAATACCAGACTAGAAAAGTTAAAACTAGCGAGGAAGCTCACTGAAAATACTACTTTGAATATTTGTTCATTCTAATACTTATAGGTATATTAACTAGGTAAATTCCAGCAGTATGAAAAAAAAACAGTAGTTAAAGTAGGATTACCCCTCTTAGAAAATAAAAGCTTAACCTTATTGACAAAATGATAAAACAAACGACTTAGAAATGTATTAGTTAAAACACTATTGGAAGGAATTTGTCATTTTCAATCAGGAAACAGATAAAGGCTAACATTAAGTGCACCTGTAAGTGCAACATAAGGCCTATAATACCCGTGTTTCCGTTGAAATATTTTTTTAGAGAAGGTATGTAGGAAAATCAATTTTATTATTTAGAAAGGACTGGTTTTAATAGGGGGAAAAGTTAATAGTGCTTGTTTCAAAATGACAACTAAATTTTAAGGGTAGCCACTTGAAATTAGGATAGATAGGTTTTCCTGGTATACACTTATATATATATATATATATATATCTTCATCATACGTTGTATCTTGGCGTTTACTGAAGTTATGACTGTAAGTGGACTGTAAGTTGACTGTCCGTATTAATTTTATGAAAGCCCTTGAAAAATAAAATTCTTGAGGAAAGTAGTTTTTTCAAAGTTTAAATTGAATCATATGTAAAAGAATCTCGAGGCAGCACGAATTGTAACTGGGGTAACTATCTTTAAAGCATGTTAACATTCTTTATACATTGAAGTAAGGAAATTCTCCCATAACATTGATATATTGTAACATAAACAAACAAGAAATAAATTACAATAAAATGTCTGATTCTAGATTAAACATATTCTAAACGGTTATTAATTTATCACCGTTGTACACTCTTTGAATTTTGTTATTGTCGGTACTAAAATTGATTTTGAATTCTATTACAGTTATCAAAACCTATGACCCTACATCGCTACTGTGTACTTATATTTTGGCATTGCACAAGGACATACTTTTAGCAGACTGTTTAAGACGTATTTACACCAAATCCGTTCGGTGTGTCATGATTGATACTTTAGTAGTGTAGAATAGAATATTTATTCATTAGTTATGGCACCCTCAACGCAGTTGGATTGACATATTGTCATTCTACGTTTCTTTTTTATGGCATCCTCAACTGAGTTGGGGTGACATATTGTTATTGTTCCGTTCTTTTTTTTTTTCTTATTATTATGTCACCCTGACGGAGGGCGGGTGACATATTGTTATTGTTCGATTCTTTTTATTATTATTATTCCACACTTTTTGTCTAGACTATTTCTCGGAATTGTATGGACCAATTGTAATGGAACTAAACAATAATGATCATCATTTTTGGCCAAAGTGCATT